AAGGAAACTTCCACCCAAATGCAAAGATCCCGGAATGTTCACGGTTCCTTGCAAGATTGGAGATGTCACTTTTAGTAGTGCTATGCTTGATCTTGGTGCTTCTATCAATGTCATGCCCTATTCAGTGTATGAATCATTAAATGTCGGACCCTTAAGTGAAACCGGTGTCATAATCTCTCTTGCGGATAAATCAAGTGTCTTTCCTAGAGGTGTTTTAGAAGATGTCCTAGTGCAAGTGAACCAATTAGTCTTCCCGGCGGATTTCTATGTGATTGATCTAGATGAGCAAGTGTCTTCCAAATCGGCTCTAATCTTGCTTGGGAGACCGTTTTTGAAGACGGCTAGGACAAAGATCGATGTGTATGCGGGAAGTTTGACAATGGAGTTTGATGGTGAAACAATAAGTTTTAATATTTATGATGCCATGAGATATCCTAGTGATGTTTCATCTTTGTACTTTGTTGATGTTGTTGAGCCAATTACTCAAGAATTGTTTGAGTTATCTAACGGTGATATGTTGGAGATGATCTTAAGCAAAGGATTCGATTGTGGGAAGCTAGCCGAGCAATTAAAGCTTTATTCTTTGGATCCGGAAGTTGAGAAGTTGGTAAATAAAATGGAAATGAAAAAATCCACAAGATTAGATGTCAAGCAAATTGAATTGTCCCCAACTCATACAAAATTGTCTCCATCCCTTGTTCAACCACCCGAATTGGAATTAAAGGTCTTACCTCAACACTTGAAGTATGCCTACTTGGGAAAGAATGAAACCCTTCCGGTTATCATCTCAACTCATTTAACCGAATTTGAAGAAGAGCAACTCCTCAAGGTGTTGAAGGAGCATAAAGAAGCCATGGGTTGGACGATTGCGGATATCAAGGGTTTGAGCCCCTCCACTTGTATGCACAAGATCTTAATGGAGGATGAATGCAAGCCAAGTAGAGACGCGCAAAGAAGGTTAAATCCACCAATGATGGAAGTTGTGAAGAAAGAGATATTAAAGCTTCTTGATGCGGGGATGATCTATCCAATCTCGGATAGCAAGTGGGTGAGCCCGGTGCAAGTCGTTCCAAAGAAGACGGGAATCACGGTGGTCGAGAACAACAAAGGTATGATGGTCCCCACCCGTGTGCAAAACGGGTGGAGAGTATGTATTGACTACCGCAAACTCAATGCGAGCACACGAAAAGATCATTTCCCATTGCCTTTCATTGACCAAATGTTAGAAAGGTTGGCCGGGAAATCCCATTATTGTTGTCTAGACGGGTACTCTGGTTTTCACCAAATCCCGGTGGCACCGGAGGACCAAGAAAAGACAACATTTACATGCCCATTTGGTACTTTTGCATACCGGAGAATGCCATTTGGATTGTGTAACGCCCCGGCCACTTTCCAACGTTGTATGGTTAGTATCTTTTCGGATTATGTTGAAAACATAATTGAGGTTTTTATGGATGATTTCACGGTACATGGCAACTCTTTTCAAGAATGTTTGACTAATCTCACAAAAATTTTAAAAAGATGCATTGAAACAAACTTGGTTTTGAATTTTGAGAAATGTCATTTCATGGTGAGTCAAGGTCTCATTTTGGGTCACATTGTGTCTAAAAAAGGAATTGAGGTAGATAAGGCCAAAATTGATGTTATTCAAAGCTTACCTTACCCGACTTGTGTTCGGGAAGTTCGTTCTTTTTTGGGCCATGCAGGTTTCTACCGAAGGTTCATCAAGGATTTTTCAAAGATAACAAGACCAATGTGCCAACTCTTGCAAAAGGAGGTCGATTTCGAGTTCAATGAGGCGTGCAAAGAAGCTTTTGACAAGCTCAAAGAGTTGCTTACATCCGCTCCCATCATGCAAGCACCAAATTGGGATCTCCCTTTTGAGATCATGTGTGATGCAAGCAACTATGCGATAGGCGCCGTTTTGGGTCAAAAGAATGGGAGGGCCTCCCATGTGATCTATTATGCATCAAGGACACTAGACAATGCCCAAAGCAACTACTCTACCACGGAGAAGGAGCTATTGGCCATAGTGTTCGCCTTGGAGAAATTTAGACAATACCTACTTGGTACCAAGGTCATAGTGTATTCGGATCACGCAGCTCTTAAGTACTTGATGACGAAGAAAGATGCAAAGCCGAGACTCATCCGGTGGATCCTACTGTTACAAGAATTTGACTTGGAAATCCGGGACAAGAGCGGATGCGAGAACCTCGTTGCCGATCATCTAAGTCGGATCACTTCAAATGAAACTCCTCTCCCATTGTGGGACGAGTTTCCGGATGAGCATCTCTTTTCCCTTACCCAATCTATTCCTTGGTATGTCGATATCGTTAACTTTTTGGTCACAAAAAGGTATCCCGACACATTCACACGTGCTCAAAAAGACAAGTTGAAAAGTGATGCAAAATACTATGTGTGGGATGAACCTTATTTGTGGAAACATTGTCCCGATCAAATCATTAGGCGATGTGTGCCCCAACAAGAGCACCAATCCATTTTGCAATTCTGTCATGAATTTGCTTGTGGGGGACACTTCGGACCTAGCCGGACTTTGAGAAAGGTCCTTGAATGTGGATTATTTTGGCCAACCATGTCACGCGATTGTTATATGTTTTGCAAAAGTTGTGAGCGGTGCCAAAGGACGGGAAACATTTCGCAAAAGAACCAAATGCCCCAAAATCCAATCCTTGTTTGTGAAATTTTTGACGTATGGGGGATTGATTTTATGGGCCCATTTCCCGTATCATTTGGCAACGTTTATATTTTACTCGCGGTTGACTATGTTTCTAAATGGGTTGAAGCCAAAGCCACAAGATCGGACGATGCCAAAACGGTTATCGAGTTTTTAAAGTCTAATGTTTTTGCGAGATTTGGTGTGCCTAGGGCTTTGATTAGTGATAGAGGGACGCACTTTTGCAACAAAATGATGGAGGCTCTATTGAAGAAGTATCACGTGACTCATCGTGTCTCCACTGCCTATCACCCTCAAACGAATGGTCAAGCGGAGGTCTCGAATCGTGAAGTGAAGTCTATTCTAGAGAAAACGGTGAATCCGACAAGAAGGATTGGAGTTTGAGACTTGACGATGCCTTATGGGCATATCGGACCGCTTATAAGACCCCGATTGGAATGTCGCCCTTCAGATTAGTTTTTGGAAAATCTTGTCATCTTCCCGTCGAGTTAGAGCACCGAGCATTTTGGGCGGTCAAGAAATGCAACTTCGACATTGACGAGGCTGGAAGGCATAGGAAACTTCAACTCCAAGAGCTAGAAGAATTGAGAAACGAATCCTATGAAAACGCAAGGATTTATAAGGAGAAAACGAAGCTCTTCCACGACAAGTCCATCACCCGGAAGAATTTTGAACCGGGACATAGGGTCTTACTTTACCATTCACGGTTGAAGTTATTCCCGGGCAAATTAAGATCAAGGTGGATTGGCCCATTTGTTGTAATAAAGACTTTTGACCATGGAGCGGTGGAAATCCAAAGTGAAGAAACGGGACAAATTTTCAAAGTTAACGGGCACCGATTAAAGCCATTCTATGAAAGTTTTAATGCAAGTGTTATTGAAGTCATCCACTTGGATGTCCCGGTGTGTTGAACCAAGCTAGAAGGACGTCTCGCCTAAGACGTTAAAGAGAGGCATTTTTGGAAAAGCTTTATGCTTTCGTGTTTCTACGTTCGAATAAAGAAGTTTTGAAAATGTTTTGATGCGTCTTTTGAAGTCATTTTTGAAGAAATCAAGAGTTTCTAGGTGTTTGGAGCATTTGAGATCAAGAACTAGTGAAGAAACGGAAGAAAACAGAGAAAAATCGATTTCCGGGAGCAGGGATCTGCGCGACCCGCGCACGGGTGCGCGGTTGGTGTGCGCGGCCGGTCTTCAACTTGCGACAAAAATCAGACACCTAACCGCATGATCTGCGCGACCCGCATGCCCCCTCTGCGCGACCCGCGTGCTGCTTTGATGACCAGCCCATATTTTGTTGACCAGCTTTGACTTTCGTTGACCAGGTGGTTTAATGAGTTGACCAACATTGACCGGGTGTTGACCACACTTGAATATGGATTGAAAACCTCCAGCAACTCTTCTTCTTCATTTCATTCTCTCAAAAACCCCCTCATTCTCTCTCAAACTCTCAAGAACACATAAACCCACTTTTCACAAAAAATTGATTTCCCGGAGTTCCACCGGTCGAAATACGACGAGACCACCACCATTCTTCACCATTTTCCGTGCTCTACAAACCCCACCTGAAGTTTACTCCGATCCATCGCCGGGTCTAGGGGCGCCACCACCACCCAACTCGCCGCTTTCCAGCCATTTTCCGTCCAACTCCTACCACCTCTCGCAATTCCGACACCACCAAAGTGTTTCTTTTTCAGGGATCTTTACATCTAACCAAACAAAACCTCAAAATCTTACCAAAAATTTTCCCATAATTTTTGAGCCACCACGAGCCGCCGCCGGATTTTTCACACAAATCAAGTTGAAAATATCCCTTCAATGAACAAGTCTTGCATTTAGGCACCCACGAATAACCAAAGCTTGGGGTGTACGGTAGCGGATTCCGGGTTCAAGTTCAATTTTGGGATAATATGGGTATTCTCTTTCCTTGGTTTTTATTACATTGCATTGTTTCAATTCGATAATTGCATCCAATTATGCTTTGGAAATTGCCTAAGATCGTTAGTTGTTGCCTGGTTTATTTGGAAACATTGATTTGAGAAAGGTTGAGATTGGTTAAAAAAAGAGGAGAAGAGGGAAGCGATCCTTCCCTTACAAATACTGAGATCAAAACCTATCGCTCCAATCTTCGGGGTCGCGCTCCGGCCGACAAAATTCTACCATAAAAAGTCCATGAAAAAGCTTGGGGTGCATGATGGTGTATACAATTTGTTCCTAAAACTAGGTTGGCGTGGTTTTCTTCGACTTTGTGACAGAACTTACGAGGAACCCACAATGGAATTCTTAGCACATATGCACGAGATGATGACATGAAAGTCTTCACATTCCAGTTGAAAGGGGAGCATCATAGGCTCACATACGAAGAGCTTGATTCTATCATGGGTATAGACGATCCACTCCGCATCAGCCCCCAAAATCAAGAGTACCAAGATTTTCTGCGTTACCCGGATGCAAACTTTTGGATGCAAATTTCTGGTCTCGCAACCTTCAACCCAAGCCGACAGCGAGCCAAGCACATCGTTCACCCCTGCTGGCGAATTGCTCACCGAGTCCTTACGACGAGTATCTTCGGGCGTCTCGAGCCCGGTCAAATCAACAGATGTGAGCTATTTTTCCTTCGAAGCATGAGGCGTGCACTCCCCCTCAGTTTTTCAAGCTTCTTTTTAGACAAATGTGACTCCATACGCCAACGTTCCTCAGGGGAAATTTTCATCGGGGGACTTATCACGATCATAGGTCGAGCCGTCGGCCTAGACTTCCCGGATCCCGAGTACATACCTGTCGACACCCCACCGAACTTCCTGCTAGACTGTGACACTCTCATCCGGATGGAGATGTTGCTCGATCGGGGAACCCGCACGTACAGTTGGTTAGACTCTGACAAATCCCCGGTTTACATCCTGCCAAGTTGAATCGGTTCTTTATTCGATACAGGCGACCCCGACACTTGGCTTCCTCCAGATCAATTGACCCAAGCAGGTGTATTCCCAGAATTCGGTGATGATGAGGGTGACGACGCAGAGCAACAAGAGGAAGAAGATGACGAAGAGAACGACGAGATGCCCGAAGCTGAGGACCATTTTGACCAGCCCTCGATGCAGCAGCCGATGTTTCTGCATGATCAATTCCAGGCCCCTCCACACCATTTTGACCAGCCGCATCAGCAGGAGGGACACGAAGTCCCACCATATTCCCCCCCCCCACGTTCTTTGACCAATTTGCCACAATGTTCTCCACGGTGCAGCGCATCGACGCCCAAACGCAAGAGAATTCGAGAGCCATCCTAGATGTGGCAAGCCGTGTTGATCGATTGGAGCAGTCCTTCCCTCACACTTCCCGCCAGGTCCAGGATATGTGGGACTACCACTATCGCCATGGGCATTTCTCGCCGCCCAACCCCCCGATTTAGGTCCTCTCCGCCCTTTCCTCAAGCATTGAGGACAATGCTTGTTCATAAGCTTGGGCTGGGGCATTTCATTTTCCTTTTATTTTTTCATGCATTTTTAATTAGGTTGCATAACATTTTAGTTTTAAGCTAATTTTCATTCATTTTTTTTTTAATTCCAAAAAGATTTTATTTTCTTCTTTTTCACCTTTTATATTTTTGCATAACATTTAGCTTAGGGCATTAACATTCATGCATTTTTGTTGTCTGTTTATTCTCATCTCCTTGGATGCCATGGAACAGGTTCATAGTTATTGTATCATTATTTGTCCAGGATCTTGTTGCTATCTTACCCATCGAACCGGGACCATTAGCTGCAGTCTGGGACCTCATACTTGGGATCAGATGCTGGTAGCTTAAAGGGGTAAGTGATCATGGACAGGTAGTTTTCATGAAGAATTATGCATACAATACTAATATCTGTAGGATATACTATAGCAATGGATGTCTTAGCCTTGCGGTCACTACCGCCGAGAGGATCACACTTGATCATGTTTGAACCATTAGGATGAAGCACTAGTGCTTGTCCCCGAGTAGAATCCATATCCAGTCTTTTTACATCACCATATCTTTTTGCGATTTTCTTAGGATTTTAGAGAAGTCTTTTAGTTCGCATGTGGACAATTTCCTTATTTTAGAAAAAAAATATATATAATATTCACAAATTGGAAGAGGAGCTTACATTATATCTTTATGCTCCACACATGGTCATTTTCTCGCTTAGACCATTCGGATTATATTACTACCCTTTCGGTTCCACTTACAAACTTTAGGAACCAAATGTTGAGTCAAAGGGTTGTTATTACATTACCTTCAAGTATGGTAACATCTTAAAAAATAAATAAATAAATAAATAAAAATAAAAAATATATATATAAAAAATTAAAAAAATAAAAAAAATAAATGGTGTGCAGACAAATTCCCAGCTGCAGAAATCTGAGAAGGGTGACCGGTTCAATTATTGAACTAAATTTTCTAACATTTTGGTCACCTGGCGTTTGAAATTCATTTATTTAGGTATGTTTTATTGTATATAGATCGAGTTGTTTTTCGCAAATTGGTGATGTTAGGGAGACTGTCGAGTCGGATACTACGGGAGGTTTGGGCCAACACCAAGTGAATCGATTCCTACAACGGTGCCCGAGCGATTAAACCTAGTTACACATGAGAGAAACCGGCAAATGTGAGATCAGAGTGTACACTTAAAGAAGAGCTCCACCCGAGCCCATCCAACTGCTTTCTCCCTACTACATATATTCTTCATTGTATGCATGTTCCATTGAGGCTGCGACTACTCATCCCTCCTTACTCACCTAAAGGAGTTGTCCTGGGTGTGGTTTATGGTTCCATTGTCATCGGACGAAAAATTCGTGAGGTAATAGCAAGATCAATTCTGACCATGTTGACTAACGGGGATCAGGTTCTACGGTTCTATCAATTCTTTTTATTTTCTTAGGATAGTTCATCCCGAGTTCATTTTAGTCTTGTCTTACTTGAGGACAAGTAAGGTTTAAGCTTGGGGTGATTTGATAGTTAGTTTTGTTTACTTCTTTTTATAGTTTATTTTAGCATATTTCATTCATAATTTAGATAATTTCCATGCATATTTTCCTTTTTGTTATTTTATGACTATTTCGGGTACTTTCGAATCTTGTGAGCATAATTGCAGGTTTTTGGGTCTAGCGGAGCGGGAGTGTTTGGGACGTATAGGAGGCGATGAGATTTGGTAGACAAAAATGATGTTGGGCTTGATGGTAGTGGAGATGATGCATGGAGTGATCTTGATGATTATTTGAAGGCTTGGAGAGAAATAAACTTTAAATTTGCAAGATGCGGGGGAATATTCAAGCGTACGTAGATTATTAATCGGGCGAGTTCACGAGCTTTGGAGGATTTGGAGAGGTCAAATTGGGCTTAAAATGAAGAAAAACTTGAAGAAAATGGGTAGGAGGTGATTGGATTCGATCTGGGCTAGTGGGATATGCTTCGGAGGCCCAAAATCTCAAAGAAGCCCATGTCAGGCACCACCCGCGCACCACCCGCGCAGCAGCACGCGGGTCGCGCAAGGCCTGCAGGGGTAATTTCGGAAATCCATTTGGAAGGCTATTTGAGGAAGGTTGGTGCCCATCTTTTGGAGACTCTTAGACATCCGATTTTTGGAGATTCTCTCTGGAGTTTTGAAGACTTTTGAAGGCCAAGAACCCTTGAAGAACATCATATTTTTACCTCTTGATTCTTGCTTAATGTTTGGTACAATTTTCTCTAACTTTGTTTCTTTGGGTTTAGCCATGCTTGGCTAAGCTAATCTTGGTTGACTTTTGGTTAATCCTTTGAACTTTTGTTGAATGTTGAAGAATCCATGAACATGTTCTTGAATCTTTATGGGAATGTTTTGTGTTTTAACATCTTATCATTACTTGTATGTTTTAGTTCATGAGTTTAAATGTGTTTGTGGTGATTAGTTGGCTAATTTCTTGATTAAGTAAAGGATCCTCAAATTAGCAAGCAACAAATGATTTTTGTGTTGTTTTGCTTCACACAATCATAAAAACATTTCCTCCAACATGGTGGTGAAAGCATTTGACCCCTTGGATTTGGTGACTTTTTGGTTCTTAATGCTAGTTGACTTTCACTAATTACATGCTATTTGGAATTAGTGACTTTGACTAAGGAAATTGTTATGAGCTTCTCTAGCCATTTCAACAATTAAGAAAAGTCTAGGTAATCTCAAGCTCCTTGGATTACTATAGCCAAATTAAGGATTTAAATCAAAGTATTGCACCATTGGATTCTAATGATATGTTCATCAAAAGTCAAAGTGAGGAAACTTTAAGTCAACCTTCTCTCCCTTATTGATTTTACATCAAACTCTTATTTTTGTTGCATTTTTATTTAAATCATAGTTAATTCTAGTTTGTTTCAAGTGTTTCAAAACACCAAACCCCCCCCCCATTTTATATTTATTCATTTTACAAGTATTTTTACAAAGAGATTTTTTCATAGAGTTATAAATTGAACCAATCTCCGTGGATTCGATCCTTTACCACTATACACTATTTTAGTGTGTAATATTTAGGGTTATTATTTGTGTTGGCCTCGACAACCACCAGGGAGTGATGACTTGAGAGTTGTAGGGTATAGTGATGCTAGCTTCCATACTGATAGGGATAATTTCCGCTCTCAGTCAGGCTGGGTCTTTACCCTAAATGGAGGAGCAATTTCTTGGAAGAGTTCCAAGCAAGAGACAGTGGAAGATTCTACTTGTGAATCAGAGTATATTGCAGCGAGCGAGGCGGCCAAGGAGGCTATATGGCTAAAGAACTTCATCGGAGACCTTGGAGTTGTACCAGCTATTAAAGAGCCAATGGAAATTTTATGTGATAGTGAAAGTGCTGTTGCCTTAGCCAAGGAACCAAGGGATCACGGGAGATCCAGACACATCGACAGAAAATACCATTTTATTAGACATCGAATAGAAGAAGGACTCCTCGTGGCAAAGAGGGTATCATCGGATGAGAACCCAGCAGATCCCCTCACGAAGGGAATGACTCGGGTTAAGCATCTCCAGCATGCTCGGAGCATAGGGCTGAAGGATGATATTAGATTTAGTAGTTAGATAACCTCGAAATTTGTAAAGTGTAATTGACATTAGATGATGAATAAAAGGTGTTTTATTTATGAGTAAAGCTTGCTATCTTTGTCAATCGTTTAATATATTTCTTTTGCATGTTTTGACTTCCAGAATAATTTTTGTTTGGTATAACATATTATTCAAACCTCCACAGTCGGTCATATGTCGGAAGTAGGTATGAATCAAGACTGTCATGATTGGTTGTAGAGGTCTAAGGTGTTAGACAAGGCTACAACGATCATGAGTGCTCATAAGATCTGAGCATTGGACTCAACCCACGCTCACTGGAATCACTTCATGGAATTCTATCTCGAGTGATCGTGAGACGGTAATATCATATAAGTCTTCTAACCTAGAGATATGATTTGTTACTTACAAGTTGGTTATGCATTGATTGTACGAAAACGCATTGGTAACTCGATGTTATAAAATCGTGCTCTGTTTGTGTAATTCAATGAGTGGTAGAACAAACATATGAGTCGAAGTTTATCTGTTCTTCTTGGATTAGAAGCTGATATATGGGCCCCTCGATGATTTTGTTTTGACCATGTACCGGGCCCGGTCAGAACTAAGTTGATGTGTTCAATTAAGTTCTTTGTCAAACAAATCGGAAATCGGGAAACAAACGTTGGACAATAAGTAAGACATTTGTTCCATGTATTTGTCCAACTGATATCTAGAACAGAGGATTATATGATCACTTATCTTAAATGGCGTACCATCATCTTCTCAGTTCCGAGAAACCTTGAAAAAGAGCTACGATTGCCGATCCGGTTCCTGAAGTCATACTTGCATATAGTTATTAGACTTATCCAAGTGGGAGACTGTTGGATAAGGTGTCTAAGTCCATAACTATTTTCTGGTATGTACTTGACCCGACCCGGCATGGTCCATTTGGGTTGCATGGCACCATGCAATTGGATAGACTAAATGAGAGAAATAACACTTGGAGATTATTAATATATTATAAGCTCTAATATATTAATAATATTATTTGATTAGTTTGATCAAGAATTAATTTAGAATTAATTAAGTGATCAAAGATAACTAATTAAATATATGGGTTGATTATGTAAATCATCCATATCTTGTATAGTGGGCTAAGAGGCTCCATGGATTATCAAGTCGGGTTCCACCCATAGGATGCCCATAGGATGCTCCACGTGAGTTACAAAACCCATGGGTCATGGAAATGAAGAGTCATGACACATTAGGGTTTACATGGTGTAACCCTAGATGTGTCAACACTATATAAGAATCATATTCTCCACCAAAATCGGCTACACTAAGGAAACAAGGGACTTGGCCGATTTCAAGAAGTGTGCATTCTCTCAAAAGTCTTTCCAAGAGCATTTGGTGTTGTGTGAAGCATTTGAGGCATCACA